CGAATTCCTTAGGATGGTGCCAATCTCATCCTCTTAGCTTTCACACGCTCAGACTGCGGGCTGAGGAGATGCTTGAGATTCTTCTCCCCAAGACCTTGGACCTCCTCCCTCAAGTCCTCCATCACAGTAACTGAAACCTCATATTTAATTCTTGCACTTGATCCAGAAGCTGTGAATTGTGTACTGTGTGATGGCCAGGTTGCTGAGTGGGGAACTCAGTATATGTTACACTTTGGTGAAGCAACTACACTGACTGTTAATTAGCTACTGGGCTAGATTCAAGATTTTATTTTTTGACACATAACTGAAGACCAATTACCTTGCAGGTAGCCAGAGAAGGGAAGTGCCATTGTACAGAGCAGGAATCACCACAGAGAAGCCCTTTCCTTATGTGACTGCAGAATGACACTCTAGGTCATTCTAAGTTAGAGGATGTCCTCTAACAATACTAATGAAGCTCCTCCCTAAAGTAAGAATAAGAAGTGTTCTTTCAGATATGGAACGTTAGTGCCACAGTACTGTGTTTTCACAAAGGCTATCTGGTGGATATGGGGAAGGGACATGTAAGTTTTTCTGAAAATGAATAAATGATCTTTATTCCATGTCATAAATATATCCCAAACTAGCAAAATGGTTAGAAAGCAAAATAATAAGACTATCACTTTTAAAAACTCCAATATTCTTTTCATGTTGCTTTGCTTGATGGGACTGTACAAAGTATATATCGTAATACTGTACGTATATTTACTCAGCTGCATTTTTTTCATTGAAGTTTATTCCTGGTAAATTTAGGGTTGCATCCTAACAGCATAGGAAGACTGTAGCTATAGTACAATTCAATACATGTTTATTTAATTTATGACATTTATTTGTTACCTTAGTCTTGAATGGAAATAAGCTTAGAAATAAACCCCATTGACATGAACTGGGTTTACTCTCAGATGAGTATGCATTGGATACCAGCTTCATAATCCTATATTTGTCTACTCAGAAGTATGTTCCTTTGATTTAATTGAGGGTTGCAGCTTTAGGTAGTTGCTGTGTGTGCTCAGACAGGTCACATTGGTTCTAAAATGTGATCTTGAGGATTGGTTCAAAGAGCTTTTTAATTAGGGGAACTGAGAATTTACTGTAGAAGAAAAGTTGGAAAAGATTTATAAAAATTAGACAGCTTTCGGGAAGTAACTTTATTCATGTGAGAGCAAAAAGTAGGAACAATGATCTGCATGCCTGCCTGCCCGCCCCCCCTCCTCCCTTCCTTCCTCACTGCAATCATGCAACTCTTAGAAGTGTATTTGATGCATTGATTGGATTTTTATACTATACCACTACAATCGTACAACTCTTGGCACATAAAACAATCACAATAACCTGAAATTAAAAACAAACAAGAATAAGTGTAAGGCCTACCGTTTAAGGTTTTCTCCCTTAAGTTCTCAACATTTCTATACTGTAATAGACAGGAAACACTTTATACTTGCATCCACTTCAAAATATCCAGGCCAGAACCCTGGTTTATAATACAGGAGTCTTTTTAGCAAGTGTGTGGATATCCACTTTTGTTCAGCCCCACCTATCACTCTTATGCAGGATGTAGAAGGCCAGCCATGAGGGAATATGGCTCTTGGTCACAAAACTATTCCAACTCATGTTGTGCATAGAAGAACAGGAAGCCTCTATGTCATTTTGCCTGAGG